GAGAAACACATTCATTGCTTCTAATTATTTTCTCTCAGGCAATTTGTCAGTCGGGCAGGGAGCAGCACTTACAAGATGGAATACTGAACGTGGCTAAATCTATCATTCCTAAGATGACCATGGCTTAGGCACCATCATTAACCAGCAACCTCAGGAGTAGCCTAAAATTAACATTCCCATACAACTACCATCATTAAGACAGGACAATAACCAAACCTCCTCCTTATAACTTTTTTTCACAGGTCTTATTAACTGTAGAGACTGTGTACTCTTGCTATTCTCCGAGGCCTTCGGTATTGACCTGTAGGTGTCTATCCCGTCCCTCACTGGGCCCTCGCCGGCTCTTCCTGCATCTGGGCCGTTGCGCTGGCTGTGTCCTTGTGTGCGTCAGGTGTGCATCAGTGGCATGTGGAGCAGGCGGCAGGAAGCGAGCCTCCCTGTCTCCCCAGACTGAACAGTGAATGAGGATAAGTGAGGAGCGCCAGTCAATGAATCAAGCAGCAGGAAGGGAGCAGCCAGGGGGGGAGTGTGACGTCCCCACGGGAGAGGCCTCGCATTAGGAACTTCCTCGTCTGTGTGTTTCTGGCACAGGTTAAATGGATCGCTCCCATTAGCGCGCTGAGAGGACAGCTCCATTATATGAAGGAGACTGTAACTTTGAATGTCACGGTGCAACAACCCCAGAGCACGCCTCGTCTCCCAGGGAGGCAGGGTGACAATAACCATCCATGATAATCATTCCCTGTCAGGCTTTAAGGAACCTGAAATTATGACGTACAGCCTGCCATGTGCCTCAGACTTCATTACAGCGCTGTCACTTTGAGACGCCGGCGATGGCACGGCGCTCTACAGCCGGTTGCAGCACTGTGGCTGCCAAAACCCAGACTCACTCTCCTCCTGTCTAAGTGGCATGTTTACAGGATGTGTGCCCCCCTGCAGATAGATGTGGTGGAGGTTAACCTCCAGTCACCTGCACAGTTCCTCTCTTCCTCCATAGCATAGGCGATGTCTCATGAGAATATATGCTGAATTGTTTACCAATGCTAGAGAAAATATGACTGATCAAAGGCCAAACAGTGACAACTTTCCCTCCTTCCATTGTGACGAATGGTAATGTGGAAATTAGAATTCAGCTCACCGTGCAGACAACAGGTTTGCCTTTTAACTTCAATATCTTTAGTGCCTGTAGAAATAATCTCCTCAAAGCACATTGCTGTTTATTTACGTTGATACTTAAGTTGAAAGCATGTTTACAGCAGCCTGTTAATCAGCCAAGGAGAGTTTCACCTCCACAGTGACCTTTGAACCTGCCATCCAGTGGAGAAGACATGAGCTGGCAGGCATTGCCAATGTCAGCGCCCAGAGCAAACTCCTTCTTCCTCACCGCCTGACTCACTCATTGGCTTTGTGGCCCCTTCTCCTTGCCACCTCCAATCACAGCGCTCTGAATGACACACAGAGGAGGAAGTGGGCCCACTAACCGCCCCTCCTGTTCCTATAACCTGCATAGCAACAAGCCAAATGTGCCTTTGATGTAAAAGGATAGAATTGAGGGTTACTCTGCACCTTACAACGAATTTATGAAAGGAATTGTTTTCATATAATTAGGTGGTCATGATGATGCTGCGTGTGGGAGACAAACTACATTTGTCAGGGCTCCTTATTAGACAGACACACACACTCTTACACACACACTCACACAACATGCTTTGGCTGAGTTTCTTTTGGAAGTTTGTGATTTATAGTACAGTATGTCTTTCTGTGAATCTGTTTCTTTATTGACTTATTAAAAAACCTTCTAAAAGTATGCTGCAGAGTTTCTGACCAGTAGGTGCAAAGTAGATAAACCATTTGTTTTTCTAGCACAGGCATGAGGACACACTTGCACACCACAAGCATGGTGTTGATGTGGTACACATTTCTGCTGACTGAAGAGGGTATTGCATTTTTGCAATAACACGCCACAACAGGTAGCATGGTGGACAAATAAGACAGGCAAAATGTATCGCGGGAAGATTAAAACAAAGCAGGTTTCAAATTGTTTTTCTTCGAATTTGTATTTGGTGGAACATACTGTAGGGCCTCAAGATACACACAATCCTTTGTGTAAAGAAAAGTCCAAAGATCAGTAAACAAAACTGTGTTTGTTTACACAAATAATTCCCCAGGGTAGTTTAACAGTAAATATTCCTCCTGAAATAGTTTTGACCTCATGTAGCTTTTAGATATAGCATGTTAACTATTGTGCGGTACATTTAAGTTAACTAAGTATCAGAATTACACTTTAATGAACATTTCTAGTGGGCCTCATTGTATTTAAAAGGATATATAATGATTATTATGGTTGTTTATGTACTGCATCTTTAAAGTAGCTTTGAAGATCTGAGGTTTTCATGACAGTTCACAGTGCCAGATAAATGTAGACTTTATCAGTTCCCCAGCCTGTGACAGCAGACAGCTCCTGAGTATCTTCAGTGTGGTCTCTGTGGCTAGCATTGGGCGAAAGCACACATGTATAGTAAACACTGTCTCTCTCACGCAGACCTGTGTGTCTTTCACTTCCTTTGTTAAAAACATTGTGCAAACCAAATGGTGGTTTACAACTTCAAGATCTGAGGTCGCACTAAAGACACTCAGGCTATTTCTTTCAGTTATATGTCACATTTTACATGAAATAAATTGCCTATTATTAAATAATAACTGATTGTTCCAGGCTCCCCTAAAATAGTCTGTGAATGTCTGCATGTTGTGTCTGTAACACAGTAATACTTGACAAACAGCCAGGAAAAAGCTGCTTATATGCTATTTCCTTCTAATACAGTTTCCACTAAGCACACCAGCTATGTTCCTTACATGGTCTAAGAGGTTGTCTCACCCATCAAAACAAAGAGCCAGTTAACTGCTTAATATAAGCTTGTACAGTTGCCTTGCTTGCAGCACCTTGAGACCACGGCTCTTTAATGGACCATCAGCCCTTGCTGGCATCCATGTCATTTGATTGAATTGTAAAATTAAGACTGGATTACTGTTTATTTTCTCCTTGCGTAATGTCACAGTTGGACAGAACTTTTGGCCCTGAGCACTGGAACAATGCTAGAGCTGCATCACAGACTGCTGGCCCCTCGTTGACTGTTTCCCTCTTTCTGCTCCGTGGAGTTGATATTAGTTATGTGTTTCTGAGTGTATGTCTATAGGAGGCTGAAGGGCTTATTTGTTTTCCCCCTCGTTGCTCTTTGACTCGTTTCCCCTCAAACGTGTCTGAAACATTGTTATCTCCGGCCAGACGCCTTTTTTACAGAGAGTTATTGAATCATGTCAACTCGCCGTCCCCCGAGTTTCAAATGCAAGCTGTAGAAAAATTAGCCATTGCTTCCGCATGACAAGTGGGATCTATTAGTGTGCTATCGCCCTGCAAAGCATGAGCATCCGACGGGCCGCTGGGGACCACGGCTGGCTGTGCGCTCGTCCGCGTCAGGCTCCCGGGGCATTAGACCAATGTTGCAGACAGGAGAAACAGCCGGAGCCACAGCAAGAACCAAAGTGGCTCACTCGATGAGTTGACACCCGAAGGGGCGAGGAAAGGCAGCATGAGCAGTGGCAGCCCCGCTCCACCTCAGCCTCCGCCAGGTCTGACTCACAGCGCTCAGGCTGGCAACTTGTTTGATAAGCAGTTTGCAAAAACACACAACACTGCTTGTTTCTTATCTATGGTTTATCAAATATGTTCTACATCTACTGGTTTATATTTTCTCTCAGCTTGAGGTTTATATTAAACTGGTGAGTTTCATTGTAGGAAGACTAAAGATGATTATGATTTAGATCCCTCATCTTCTACGCCTCAGTGCTGATTTAATTGCAGCGCCGCTTGCTAATATGTTTGACCTTACTCTTATATGCAGTATAATTCTACATATATGGAAGGTTGTCTCATTGATTAAAATAATTACCGTCCAAATTCAAAACTACCTGCTTGGCTAAATGATTGGACTCTTTAATGGACTCCAGCACAGGCTTGTCTGGAAGTAATATTAGCCTTTAATGGCTGAATTTAGACAATGACATGACCCTGTTACTGCCTCGTGACATTGTCAGTGCTCTGCTTTTTATTACTTATTAAAGCTTTCGAGATCATGAACGTTGCAATTTTCTTGAAAAGGATAACTAGTCTATGATTTTCTGTCGAGAGGTGTTGATTTTAATGGTGCAAAATATTATGTTTATCAGGAAAGGTGTCACACTAGGGTCTGTTTTGGGTCTTTTTAATGTTCCTAGTAAATCACTCATTAATATAATCTGAAGTTACTTTGCCTCCGTGATTATTTCAATTTGATTGTAATGCTTTTGATTCTCTTATCAATCACGATCTTCTTGAAATAATAATAAACCATTCATTGGTTAACAGCTTCCTTGTCTTTTAAATGTGCATGCAAATATTTTCCTGTTATTCTGACTTAATTTGTCTTTGATTGTTTTGATTTATGCTTATGTGTTATGCTTTTTTGATATGTTTTTTGTACATTATTTTATACATTGAAAAAGAGATCCTAATCTCAATGAGACTACGTGATTAAATAAAGGATTAAAACACCAACATTGAGGTCAAAGTGCCTCCATCCAGCTCTGGGCCAAAGGCTTAGTCATGTGCTCAGGTCCAATCAGTGTGACTGCCCAGCAGAATTAGCATTCCAAATGTTGTTTGTTTTAGTATAATTTTGTATTCATTGCCCGCAGAGGATAGAGTTTCACCACCTTGTCGTGGATGTTGATGTAGCATGGCCTCAGGTCAGACACCAGCATACACAAATAATTGCCCTGGGCCTGCCACCTCGGTGACCTTGGACAGTGACAGTCTGTTGGACCACAGGGTCTACCTCTTCATCATCACCATCCTCACCCTCAGTTGGCCTTAAGCAGAGCTCCGTATAAAATATATTTTGTGCTACATATTTTACTGTTGTTTCCTATATATGCTTAATGGTTTCTTTGTTTTCTCTTTACAGGTATCTCAGTAACAAAGAAGACGCATACCTGTGAGTACAAATGTTTTTTTGTAATTACTTTTCATTTCTGTTGCGCTACAATTTGAGGCTGTAAAAGTGTTGTTTGATTCTCAGAAAAGCTCTTCACACTAAATGGGAAGAAACAAATGTACTGTGCTTCAATACAGTACAGTTGATAAGATCATCTTGGTTCTATCTCTGCTGACTCTTCATTCATCAGTGCCTATATGCATATTGTAGCCTCACTAGTATTGCAATAAACCAATACCTTCAATTATATCCGTGCCATCCGCTTCACTCTTTCATATTTTTCTATCCTGGAGAGAATTTGATGATAACCCCAGAGAGGAAATTAAAATGCGATGCAGCCTCATGACTGTTTGATAATCATGCACAGTTAAAGCAGACACTGTGCTGAAGCACCTCTTTGTTTTCTGCAAGGCCTTGCAGCTGAGCAACGCGGATGTGGTGTTGTGTGGTGGTTTGTAACTTCTGAGGCTGCATTAACTACCAAGAGTTTGTATTCTTCAAGCACAGATCATATCACTGCAATTGAAAGATACATACACAGTATATGACACGTCTCACATGTGAGATACAAGACTTCTTTGTGCACTACGAAAATAGTACACAGGCTTCGACTTGTCTAACCAACACTGCCTTTTCAATTTTAGTCAGCTCATGAAGAATTGATGAACAGACAAACCTGTAGAAATCAATGATTTCCAGGAGATTTGTAGTGTATTCTGACACGTGTGAAGTGCAATCGAAAAGTCATGTAAAAATGCTTTTGTGTAGTGCACTGCAGTGTGTCTGTGTATGGGTGTGTGTACAGCTATGTGTGTGTGTTCATACCCCACTGTGTGAACGGAAGAAACTAACCCTGAAGGCTATCCTTTCCCTCTGATCACTCTGATGAAACTTGTGGAGAGGGAAGGCCAGAGGGCTTTTCTGTAAGAGCGGTCGGAGTGTTTCAGATTGTGAGAGGCTGCATCTCGCCCTGTAAAACACCCCTGCTCTTTCTTACATCAGACAGAGGGGCAAAGGATATGATCTTCTCCGCTAGACAGCTATACCTTACTCAAACAGCCCGTCAAAACAGCAGCATGATTGTGTGTTAAGCTATTTGCTTGTCTGGAGGGTCTGTGGTATTTATTTTTTGATGTGTGTGTGTGTGTGTGTGTGCTTGCTCGTGTTTGTGTCAGAATATCTTCAAGGTAGAACAGAAACGCTTTGACCCACCATCCACCGCTCCACTATCTTAATTAGTGCAGCGCTAAGCACCTCTACACCGGAAGGGGGCTCATATCAAAGAGCATGATTTAGGAGTCTTGGGTTCAAAGCCCTGGGCAGAGACTGGACTACGCTGTCTCATATCAGTGAGAAATATTCAAATCTTGTCCATGTGCGGAAATCAAAGTAAAGCCCCTTAACAAGTAGTTGATTGCTGTGCCTCACAGACAGGAAGCGGCTGTTAAACCTTGTCAGAGTTGTGTGCACAAGAAGAAGTTCAAGGGGCCAGTTAATGGACATTGAGAATATGGAGGGGAGGTCTTTCTCAGAGAAGCCTAGTGATTAAATGGCTGCTGGAGTAATAATGAGGGACATCGCTCTGCCCTAATAATCTGGCTGTAGATCTATTTCTGTTCTCGAAGTGAAAACATTGGCTCCCAACGCTACACCAGTGCACACCGCCACTCGTAATGTGAGCTTGGCAGGCATGCTTTTATGTGCATGTGTGTGCAAGTGTGTGTGTGTGTTTTAGGAGGTCTTCCTAGTCCAACCCAGACCACAGGGATGGGCCGTGTCTCTGACTAACTCCCCACTCTGCCTGAGTGATCAAACTGCTGGAAGCTCCCCGCCATGCCAGTCCCCTCATCAATATAAATTACAGGGGCAGCTGTTCACTGGCAGCCTCTCCTCTCCTCTCCTCTCCTCTCCTCTCCTCCTCTCCTCTCCTTTTCCTATCCTCTCCTCTCCTTTTCCTATCCTCTCCTTTTCCTATTTTCTCCTCTCCTGTCCTCCACTGTCTTCTCCTTTCCTCTCCTCCTTCTTTTCCCTCTTCCATCCACCAGGCTGGACTAATCACCAAGCCATCAGAAGGTGAAGCATGCTAGATGAAAACAGATACTTATATCATTGTGCCAATGACTGTGCTGTCTTCTCCCCACTCTGGCTGTTAAAAGGACTTCAGTAGATTTACAGTGTGAGGCATCACCCTTTTTTCTTTCTCCCTTCTCACTTGTTTTTGTACTTCACCATAACGGGTGGTCTCTTGCCAGCTCTGTCTTTAACCACAAAGCTATAGTTCTCAGCAAGAAGTCAGCTGTGGTTTTCCTGTAAAGTTCCCTGACAGTTTTATATATGCTCTGTTGTATTGACTTAAGTAGAAATTGATGTGTCCCTTAAACTGCCAGGGACGTGGTGATAGCAAAAGATCAAGGGCTTAGTTTTTACATTGTAGTTTTACTTTGACGCCGGACACCAGATACACAGTGTCACCTTCTCCTACCTCAGCGAGGCAGCGTTGCTTATAGATGAGTGTCTGTTTGGACCTGTTGAGAGATATGGTGTGGAGCGGAGGATCAGATGCAGCAGCTGATTACTCTGAGATTATACGTCTCACCTCTAATCTACCATCAGCAGTCTGGGACTCTGTCTCACAGCTCGAGAAGCAGAGCGCTAGCTAACGCTCTCACACAGGCCGTGTAGCCAGGATGCTCTTCCGCGAACAGAGCAGATCTCCTGATTACCAACAGCTAATCCTCTCTCTCTCTCTCTCTCTCTCTCTCTCTCTCTCTCTCTCTCTTACAGCTGTAGATGTACAATATACTGATGTCTGACTGACTATGATCAGTATATCAAGTTGCTTGTTTTTTTAAAGTATGCTTTATAACAGACTTGAAAATACATACAACATAACAGTTTGCAATGCTAAACAAAAAAAACCTTACAATGTTTTAATAAAATCCCAACTTGTCCTGAAAACTATTGAGCTGAATTTTCACTATTAACTCGTGCTGAAAAATGTTAGCATCCTAAACACACTTTAAATTAAACAAATATAATTCAAACACTATTCATTCATTGTCACTGTATTTTATTTTATTATATTTCACGATGATATGTGTCATTCTGCCAGTTCACTGTAGTAATGCGGCTATGTAGTGTGTGCTTGAGTTTAGTTTAGGAAAAGAGTGGCCAGAGGGAGGCAGTAGTACAAATGTAACTCCGGGAAGAGAGAAAAGAGACGGATGAGGCTTCCTCTCTGCAGTCTTACAGATACGTAGAGGGTCCCAGTTTCACCCTATATTTATCTCCATTTTGGTGACAGTCTCCTTACACTGATTGAGAAACATGGCCTCGCTCCTGCATCTTCATTTATTTGCTAGCAGCCTGTATTGAGTTTCTCTCGTCAGTCTCACATAGCAATAACACAACAGTCTGTGTTAAAGGAACTAGATGATTGAGATTATTTTGCACTGTCTTAGAAAAACAGAGTGCAGAGTTATAGTGCAATGATATCAGTCATTGAGCAACGTTATAAAGCAAGAGTTTGTTGATTTCATGTCTTTATGCATTTGCGTTTTCTCTCATAAAAGTAGTGTATGTTTGGAACAATATACTAACAGCATTATTAAGCTCAATAATACTCTTTGTGATCACATAGCTCAATGGCAGCTTTTCCCTCCGTAAAGCATCTGAGAATGCTCTCACATCTGAGAATGTGGAATGCTAAGCATTGACTCTGTGAGTTGTGATATTTTCAGTTAATCAAACATGAGATTTATGGTGCTTAATAGTGCTGTACATTGCCAATTTAGGAGAATAATATGTCCCAGTTGCTGTCTAATTTTGCTTGGCAACAGGCGCACTCCTGTGGAATCGCCTGAGGCGGTGTGAGTTGTCTCTGCATAGCTCAGTGTTCCATGCTCAGTGGCTGTTTGAAGGTATTTCATCACATTGTTGCCTTGATTCAGCTCTGTGGGGATTTGTTAGTTGCACTCATGTGGGAAGTGCATCCAGTACATTGTTAAGCTAGGGCTGATAATGAAGATCAGCCAGCCAGAGTCCCCTGAGCTACGCACAGAGAGAGATAGTCTAGTGAGACGCGCAGCACAGACATAGTGGAGCAGGACGAGCACACACAGCAGTACACACAGACGCAGAGGAATCATCAGCACAAAGCATACAACACTGAGCTGTGCTGTAGTGTATTAGAGAAAGAAACACAATACAATAGCGAATTAGATTATTATCATATATGTCATACTCTGTTGTTCTTATACGAAACATTACTCCAAGTTTGTCAAATTGGAATTATTATGTTTAAAGGTTGTTTGAGCAACGATGAAAATATTTTAATGTTGTATCCTTTTTTGTTAGGATTGAAATTGGCAGTACGAGGCCCCAGTAAGCACAGCCACTCTTCGTTATTTGATTCTCAGCATGGTACCAGAACTCCTTGTTTCCTTTTCTCCCAGAGCAACATTGACCGCTTAAATTGACACAATCTTTTTCTCCCTCTGTACTGTAGGTTATGTTTCATCTTACTCTATTTATTTGTGCCACGAAAAGAGTATTCTTTTTGGACATTTTGGTATAATCTATAATAGACGGCTATTCTTTTTCTGAAATAGGTCAGTGTAATCACAACAGTGAGCGATGGACAGTCACTGTAAAAGGGAAATCAATAGAGCTATCTATTTGTCGTAAACCAGGCCAGCATGATTTTTCTCAATTTTTCCTCTGCTTCCATACTCTTTCCTCTCCAACACAATATGGCAGGTTGTCGTTTTTCAGTAAAAGCAGTCTTTCTGCAATTTTGTAAAATTGCAAATGGCCTTTGTACATGCCTCTTTTTATTTTGCATATGTTTCTCTGGATATAGAAGCTTCTTTTTTGTATCACCTCCTGGGGGCCCAGGGTGTTTTATAAGGAGGAGAATGGTAAGGAGAACTGTAGGGGTGCACGGCCGCTTTTTTGTGGGGGAGTTCTGCTTTTGTTGGCTCCTAATCTGGTTCTTCTCT